TAAAGGAAACAAAACTAGTATTCTGGCCCCTTTCAAGATGAAATTTGTTCTTTATAAAAAGAAAGAAAATGGACATAGTTAATACTAAAGAGTAATGTTCTGCATTTTCTGGGCAGTGATTTGAGTATTTTTCACACTGATAAATGCTGAGGTAAAATGTTTTATCTGTGTCCAGTTTCTTTTTTTTATTTATTTATTTTTAGGGATATTCAACAGTGAAAAATGTATCATGAAGGACTTCAGAAAGAGTGAGGGGTGGAGGGGGGAGATGGGAGACAAAATTAAATGAACCTTAAGGTCAGTATCATAAAGATACCAACATAACCCGATTATTGCCTGCCCTCTGGAGAGGGGAAAATCTTACACAAGCACATTAAAGTTGAGAAAAATGAGAAGCTGAAAAGAAGAGGAAATTGTTTTACTCTCTGAGGTAGATTATGTTGTACAGTTAACAAATGATGGTCACTTACATTCCTTTACGAAAAAAAAACCCCAACCCAAACACATTGAAGTCATGTAACCGAACAAGAAAAGTCAACTATAAAAAAAATCTTGTGCCACATCCAAGAAAGTGAGGTGTAATATCACTTAATACAGAACTGGTTTATTTTTCATAGGAAACCAGAGGCTTTCCACTAAAAGGAATTTGTTATTTCTAGGTTTGGAAAGGTCTGCTCTGGATCCTAACAGTTACTCAGTAATCTTTTTATGTTGATGGCATTTTGAAATATAAGCAGTGCTGCACCAACCGTTTTCACTGACTCTGCAGCTTCTCTTTCTTGAGCACCCAAGGTTGTTTCTAGGCTGACATGCAGCTCAGCAAAGAGCAGTTCTTAGTGAACTGAAGAGCAAGGTTCTCTCTCTCCCATGCTATATGTCCTGTATGGCTCACCTGAATCACAGGGCTGTGAGGGGCACAAGGGACAGGCACTGCTTTGATGCCAAGTTTGAGTCTGTCTTGCTGGCTCACGGCCTGGTGGCTCAGGCTGTGTCTTCCCTGCTGTTAGTCAGTACCTGGACGTTTTCTCTTGAAGGATGTGTTAGTGGTGCTGAGCCAGGGCTGGAAAATTGAAGAGTAGAGGGAGTGCACTTTCACCTGATTTTTGTCATGGTGGCCGAGAACAAAGGGACCTTGATCTTTGACTTTTTTCTAGGGGAAATTGGCTTTCTTTTTTTCCTTGAGGGGCCAGCTTTATGTAAAGCCTCTACCCTCTTGCTTTAGTCAGAAAGCACAAGATGTTTCTTGATTGATTCACACTGAAGTGCCCACACTGAAAACATTTCCAGAGTAGCACAGCATGGAAGAAGTACAAAATTAAAGTCCTTCAGTGTAGAAGTATACATCAAATGACAGGTATTTCTGCAACTTTCGATAACCAGGTTGCTCTTCAACTACTTCAGGTCGATTCTGGGAACCTTTTTCAGTAAATGACCGCTATTGGATCCCTCAGTCTCTTTGCTGGGAAGAACGGCCAGCAACATTTTTACAAGTTACTATCTCATGGTTGAAATGTACTTACCAACAGCACATAAATGACTTGTCTCCTGCAAAGTAAAATAGGTACACTGAAATGAACAATTGCTCATGTGCTTAATATACTATTTTGTCTTTCACTTATGCTTGGACTTGAAATGCAGAATTGTATAAGATGCTAATTTTGTTACATTCATTTGTGAAATACCATTTACCTTTCTAGTATTTACCTTAAATTTTATATATAATATTTGTGTACCTGTTTGCCTTAGTTATTAGAGGGGCAAGGCAAGAGGTATACTGGACTCAGTAGCATGGTTGCTGTTTTGATTGGATGCATTGGTGGAAGAATCATAGAATCATAGAATGGTTAGGGTTGGAAAGGACCTTAAGATCACCTAGTTCCAACCCCCCTGCCATGTTGGATTTTTTAAAGTGTTTTTGGTGCAAAATGCTTGAAAACTATTGAGTAGAAACAAGACACCATCGTCTTTTAGTTAAGCCTGATAGGAAGAGAAATGATTTACTTGCTGCGCTGCTTTGAAATGCAATACAAGCATTGGTTTACTTTGCCTTTTGTTAGACTGAGAGCTTTAGAAATGTGCAGAGCAGAGAACACAGACTTTTTTTTTTTTGTTGTTCAACAACTGAGCGTTTAGATCAACTGCCGACGCAGGAGGAAATACCATTAGATAGGTACTAGAAAAGCCAATATTCCACGTTATTCGTGCAGACAACTAACATTTGAAACTTGCATGAACTGCTTCCACTTAAAAGCTGTCAGTCACATTGGTTATAAAAAGCCCAGAGCACTTAGGGACTGTCAATCACTTCCTAGAAGAGAGAGCTGACATCTTAACATTTACTTTGCCAGTATTTACCAAATGCAGCAAACCAAAGGGTGGAAATGCAAATGAAAACATGCATTCTCACTGATCATATAGTACAAGGGAAACGTTTGGAACAGTTATTGTAGCTGCTCACCTAGGAGCCTCCAATCCTGAGAAGATTTTTCTCTCTTGAACTATGAATAGAACTGTTGCAGGCTGGTTCCGCTGTGGTGCGGGGAAAACGCTTTTGCAGACACTGTCTGCGGGAGCTGTCATGGGGTCATCAGATGAGGAAATAGGTTGACTCTGGCATGTTACGGGTAAGGGAAGCAGCAAGAAATGTGCAGAGGACTTGAGAAGGGCACATAAAGGGCATCTACCTTGCTTTTTTTCTGACGTTAATAGGGATGTGGGTGTTGTAATTATCAGACTGATGATGTGTTCTTGGGTAAGAAGGGGATTGGCAAGGAAAGGAATGGGAGGAGCCACTTAATTCAAATACACCTGCTCTTTTTCTGTATGTTTCTAGTTCTAGTTATCCATGGGTTGGTCTGAGAACTGAAGCTTTAGACACTGATCCTTGTGCTTCAGTGGGATTGCAGCTGTGGGTAGCACTATGCTATAATTTGCAACTGTGAGGAACCTCCACTCACGACCACTGCTACTGTCACAGAGCAGGAGGTCTAGTATAGAGCTGATGTGTTCACAGGCCCATAAGCACTGTTGTGCTGCTCTGCTGCCAAGCCCTGTTTCAGAAGATACCATTTTGAGGTGTATTGTTGTAAAAGGGTATGTATGAAGGTAAAAGGGATGTTGTCCTTGAGGCTGCCTCCCGTGGTTCACTGGACCTGAGTAACAAGTGTCACATCCCACAACCACATGCACCTGAAGGGATCCATGTGACTCTTGGTCCTTTTCCTCACCAGACTGTCATCTTTAAGTCAACATGGCTGAACACAGCAACTAAGGAAATGTTGCAGAACTCTGCTGAATATAAAGTCACTCATGTGAGTGCTTCTTACTAGAGTCTTCTGGAAGGTCTGATATAACAGCAAGCAGCTTCTGACATTTGTATCTCTTGGAGTAGTGCAGCCAACATCTGCATTGTGTGGTTCATTGGTGAGCCCACAGGTTTTGTTCAGTCTGCACATCCAAACATTAAGTCTCATAATCCTAACACAGCCTTTGGTTCTGCAAGTCATCTTCCATGCAGGGTTCCTCCTACCATTTGGAATGGAGTTCAGCCCTGGATTAAACCACCTGAATGAGGTTTGTAGAGACCTAGTGTAACTGTAGATGCCTACATATAAATTCATAGAACCAAAGACATGTTCCCATTGTAGTCTGTGAAAGTTCAGTCATCACAGTTTATGGGACCAAGTGATTTAGCCCGCCTTGGAGAAGGCACCTCTCAGCTGTCAGCAGAATGGTTCTATAAGCTTCATTGACTATATCGTGTAGGTCTTCTTTGACTGTAATAGGAATTCAGGCACTTACTACATTTTATGTGCCTGAAACCTTAATCTTGAACCAAATCCCACCCTTGCAGCCAGCTGCTTAAGTGACTCTGATCATTTGGTGGACTTCCCCACTGGGATTATAGCCTTGTCTTGAAACTCATGTTCCCACATACTTGGAGCTACCATGTAGGGCTGTCTGACATGGTATTACATACTCTAACTTTTCTGGCATCTTTAGCTTGGATAAAGGTAGTCCTACAGCCCAGAGCTCACTGTGGATAAGTAGACCAAGTATTTACAAATGATTTCCCATCTTTCTCTTGTATTTGTGTGTCAGATCTATATATTAACCAGTGGTATGAGGAGCACCAATTTAAGTTGTGGGATATGGATAAACTAATTACATGACAGTCATGAAGGTCTTGCTGCTGAGTATGTATAAATGCATGCACCTGTGCTTAAGGAAGCTATGTCATGTGTCAAGTAGGGTATAGCAGGATTCAGGTAGTACAATAAGATCAAAGAATATGTTTGGAGACTTGACTGGAGGTATAAGCTTCCTCTGTTTTCTCCTTGAAATAGAGTAGTAGAGTCTGCTGTGTGTGTCCTTAATTTACCAAGGAGAAAAGCATTTTCCCATTGTTTCTTACATGTCATGTCTATCTCTTTATAAACAGGCCAGGCCTGTATTCTCTAGTACTCTATTTTTGTATTAGGAAGTTCTTTCTTCCCTTAGGGAGACCCTTCATCCTCCTTTCAAGGGTAAATAAAGAATGCTATTCACCATAACAATAAGTCTAGAAAGAGGAACAGAAAACAAAATGTCTCTGTATACATACTGAATAGCTAAAAGTTGATTACATCAATGCTCTGCTAATCATCTTCAGATTTTAATGTCAAATAACAGAAGATTGTGTTTAGTATGGACCAGAGGCTGGGGCTAAGAGAAAGTTGAATAGCTTTATATAAGAAAATGTAGACTGAATGTATAATGAATATACAGAATAGACTTCTGTGTGTGGTCCACATAGGATGTTAAAAAAAATGGATATTTTCTTTAATTTCTGAAAATACTAGGGAAGTTATATGTGAAGAATACAGTGCAGAAGAGAGATCTTCTATTAAATCCTCTTCTCATCTCCTCTATGTCCTGTTTTCCATATCTTGTGGCCATTTGCTGTACGACAGTTAAGATGCATAGCTGTTAGGGTCAGGAAAACAGGTCATGGACTCCTTCCTGTATGCACTGATTATCCCTTTGTTCCCTTCCTCTAATGATACCTAAAATTAGAAAACTCTCAATGTTGTAACCTGAAGCTCTATCAAACAAAGAGGTGATTGTAGCTGAGTCTAAGGCTTACCTGCCTGGGCAAGATGCAGCATTCTCTGGAGTCCTGATTCCTTATCTGCAGTTCACGAGCTGGAGACCTGTCCGGATGTTGTGCAAGTCATTGCTACTGGTTGAATGCCAGTGTGTAGAATGGGAGATCCCCTTGTGAAGTTTCTTCCAAGAACTAAATTCATTCTTATCAGAGAATGTGAAGGTTAACTAATTATGTGCTCTAACTTCCAAAAACACAGTCTGGGGGAGTTTAAAGAGCTCTAACACTGAAATAAAACAAAATCCTGATCACCTCAAATTTGATGTTTTTAAGGTAAACTGTATTGAGTCGTCAGCTCCTTTGGAAAAGTGGATTATTCTAAAATGTTGAACAGCTGCCCTATTTTCATCACATGGTCCTAACCAGAATACAGGAGGAATTCCATGAAAATTATCCAGGTGTGGGAGAATAGAAACTGACCTAAAATATTGCCTTAGTGCTGGGTAAGTTATCAGCTAAAAACGGCAGCATGTACTTGAGACTGCTTTTTTGCCCTGAACAACATCGAGACTTTTAGACATGACTTTAAAGATTTTGAAGTGATTTCTGAAATGGTCGTTTCATTCAATATTTTCCTGAGAATTATCAGATTTTTATAATACGCCTTTTGGAAATCCTTTTTACTTAAAGCAAGTGTGTCTGTTTATCATAAGCAATGCTCAGGTTGTTTTAGGAAAACTTACTACAAGTCTTAGGTATGCAGATATTGAAGCAAGGTTTTCTCCAATCTACCATAAAAAGCTAATGTTGTCTTTAAATGACAGATAGAATGGAATTCTAATATATGTGGGAATTTGAGAAACCAAACATTGAGCATACTACAAAACCCCCTTGGAACAAGACACGAGGCAAATGTAGGTATTCCTTGTGCAAATTTCAAAAGGCATCTTAGACAGTTGCAGTAAGACAGAGTTGAGAATTGCTAGTGTCAAGCCCTGAAATGTCATGAGTTTGTCTTTAAAAAAATCAACTTGTTTACTTTTATTTTGCCTTTTGACATCCTCTCCCCTCCCCTCTCCTCCTCTATAAAACTAGATTACTCCAGAAAAGAGGCCTTTAAGAGAAACATCAAATACTATGAGATTCATAATATAGTTGTAGGAGCTGGCAGCGTAAAAGGAGGGGGTATTTGCAAAGGCTCCCTAGACAGCAGTGAATAGAGAGTGGGCCACCAGAGCGGTAAAATTAGGCTTCTGTTCTGGATCACCTTATTCTCCATTGGAGTCACTTCTCCACTGCCTGTGGAAAGAAATACTCTCTCAACAGGCTGAAGTTAGCTTCTGTGACTAGCTCTTCAAGCGAACATGAAGAGAGGCTTTTTAATATGAGGAGCTTCGCTTCTAATCCCACGTGCCTGTAGTGATCTCAAAATACACAAGGGCTGTAATTCTGCCCTGAATTAGATACAGTGGTCCAGCCTACCAGAGAGCTAACACATGTGCATATATCCATACTGAATAGTTGCTGCTGGATACCTGCCTGAACTTGAGAAATGGGTGATAAACAGGTTTGTGACAGACCGTTTGATACGCTGTGACGCTAATAGCTTGAAAGAATGCTCAGTAGGTAGAGAACCGCTGTGCAGAATTAGTCAGTCACCAATATGCTCACAGCACCGTACTAGTAGTAGGCTGCGAATTTGAGCCAGACGGTTGGTGTGCTCTCCTGTAGGCATCCAGACAAGCCTGTACTGAGATGACATTTGCTTCACTACAGATATGTCACGGATCATTTTTCACAGCCCTGTTGAAGTGGCTTATTTATTATCATCTGTTCTGGTGTTATATCCTGGACATGGGAGAACTGTTTACTGTGCCACAGTGCCAGGAATTCCTGGTTACTGTGCAATCTGACTCCAGGAAAAGGCTTAGGATAGGGCTCAATGCTTTCCTCAAGGCTGCCGCTACCAAAGCAGGGCGCTCTGGATTGAACTGATGAGGCAAATCCCAGGAGTTACAGCAGAAGTTAGTGGTTTGATGTTTAAGTAAGTGACCTCTAAGTGAACAGGTACTGGGTTGGTCACCATTCCACTTGCCCCAGCTTTAGAAATCAAATGCAAAATTGTGGCCAGCAGAACAACTTGACCTTGGATGTAGGCAGCTCTGCTGTTAGACCACTTGAGATTTGTTGAAGTCACGTTATCCAGAATAGTGATTCTCAGCTACACTCTAATGGTGTGCAAAGCTATGCTGCCTTAGAAGGTTGGTGAGTGATGCAAGGCAGTGTGGTAGCCCAGAGTGTATTCAGAAAGCTAACAGTGATCCATGAACAAAATGCCAGGGAATTTCTGCCATTACTGGCCTAGAGGATGAGAAGTTTTTAGTGTTACTTTTTACAGGGAAAGGGGTTAATGAGTTTAAGGAATGGCAACAGGACCTGGCTGTTGAGTTTTCTAGACTTACTGTATTATTCTTACATTTGTCTTTCCTTGCCCTGTGTTAAAATGACATTCACAACCCTTGAATATTGTAAAACCATGTTTCTGGGAAAGTCACTCAACTTTCTCTGGGTCTGCTTGTCTGATTTGATTTGTGTTGCTATGCTAGAATAGTATTTCCCCAAATCTCTATCAGTATGATCAATTAAGTTATCAGCAAAAATCTGTCATCCAAGATGACTCTTTGTTGTTAATTAGGAAGGAAGTGGAGTGATCTCCATTGAAACTAAGCTACTGCAAATGTCAGTTACTATGGGTAAAAGCGCAGTACTGTGTGCTTCAGAAAATAAAGCTTGATCTACTGCAGAACACTTGCATTCAGTGCATAGGTTTTAAAGAGACCCAGCATAAGAACCATAGAACGGTTTGGATTGAAAGGGACCCTAAAAATCATCTAGTTCCAAGCCCAATACCATTGGCAGGGACACCAGACCAGGTTGCTCAAAACCCCATCCAAGAATATGTTTGTTTTTAGTGGTCGTTTGTACAAAGGTAAGACGAGAAGATTCCAAACAATAGTGTGGCCCCATTGTGCCAGGTCTTGTGCAAACACATGCTGATCACTGCCAGAATTTGTGATTGAAACAGCAGGAAACAGCAGTTGTCTTTTCTCTAGTCTGCAGCTAGGAGATAGGGTAGGTGGGTTGCCTGAGTTTACATGGAAGGGCACTGGTCCCTGTTTTTCTTAAGCCCAGAGCTTTAGGCATTTCCCGCTTCTGTCATGCCCACTACAGCCCAGGACTGGAACAATACAGGCTGGGACATATTGGGGAGGAAGCCTCTGTGACTTAGGTGCTGGCTTCCAGCTGGTGAAATGAAGGGCCAGCAATCTACTTGATTAAGGATAGAAGGTGGGTGGCCTGCCAGGGGATTTTTGTTTACATAGGAACCCTTAGGTCAAACAAAAAGAGGGTGCTGGTTTGCCCCAGCAGCTAAGCCCAGTCTTGCTAGGGTAGCTGCTAGAGGAACAACAGCACAAGTTCCCCAGTACAAAATTAGGAGGAGCTGCATATCTAGGGCTGACTTCCCTGCTTTCCCCAGGAGATGTTAATGCTGTCCTGAACAGAAAGTTGGCTTTCGGGGCAAGAGGAGGTTTTGTCTAAACAGCAGCCACTGAGGAGAGGCCAGTAAGGTGCTTTTTTTGTTTTGTTTTCCTTGAACATGAAGCTACATCTTGTTCCTTCATTGGAAACAACAGAGGTTTTCTTGTCAGAGCAGTCAATGATGGGGTAAGAGCAAGAATTCGAGTAGTTAGCTAGAATAAATGATCTGGGGCTTGAAGCAATGGAGTGGTATAAAGTGTTAAAAAATGGGCTGAAGACAGCTATTTGAAGAAGTGTTGTCACATACTGAGAAATTTGTTTTGCCAGCTAGTTGAAATCCAAATATTAAAGTTAAGGGTTTTTTTTTCTTTTAAGCAACTGTAGCATGAATGGAAAATTTATGGAAGATGTTGAGACTTTGTTCTTTCTAAAAAATGGAGCCTTGTTACTGAGCCAGGCATGAAAAGTGGCTAGAAAGAAAACTAAACCAAATTAATCTGTTCTAATCCAATAGAATACAAAAGTAGGCAGAAAACAATGATAGGAAAAAAAATGAACTCAGATTTATAATTATTTTATTGTAATGTAGCAGTAGTCAGTAACAAAGGAAGCTCATTTTGCTTTATTTTGTGATGTTTGAATTCGCAATGTCCTCTGAAAATAATGCACCTTAGGCAGCAGAGTACAGGGTTTTCCAGAATGTGTGTAAGTATACTTATTTCTTATGTGCTACTAAAAAGGGAAAATTAAAATATGCCAACAGTACTCTGAATTCTAACCTCCTTTTTCAGGTGTTTAATTTGCCAAGCACAAGTGGGGAGTTGTTGGAAGATTTAATATTGCTGCCCCCATTATTTCTCATAAACATGCACTCTTACCTGATAAGTAAATAACTGCAATAGTTAGGTGGTGTATAAACATCAGTCCAGTTAGGTAGTTAGGATTATCCTCCACTATTACTGAAGTCAGCTGGTGAATCAGAGTAATTCTGGGCTCACAGCTATATAATCAGGAGCAAAATTTAGCCTGTCTTCTTAATGAAAAGTCGTTATGCATTAGGACAGACTGTATTAATTATTAATCTCTCTTTCCACATGATGTGACCAGTCTTTCTTGAACTCATGGTCTGTTCCAACCAAATTTGACAGTGGCTTGGGATTTATGAAGTGTCTGGGAAGTTCTCAAAAGCAGGTGGCCGAGTAGAAGTGAGAAGGTCTCCATGCTGCAGGATCCAGAACATGGAGCCTACCAGGTATCAGAGGGTCAGTGGTGGAAGGAAACACTGAGATGCAAGTGCTCATAAGATCTGCTGCTCACAGAGCTATTTTTCTGTAAAGAAGGCAAAAAACATGTATCAGTCCAGATAAATTCTGCTTCTACTCACGGTTCTAAATAATTTTGCATTTAAAAAATATGTACTGTTTTCTGTTTGAAAGAGAAATCCTAGGACTCTGCCCACACCAGTGCTACAGTTTTGTGTATGTTGGCATGCGCTCTCTACAATGGCAAGTCCCCACTCCTTGCCTTCCCTTTGCAGTACCTCCACCCTGGCTGCACCATGCCTCCTTTCCGAGCTCCAGCCTTCACCACCTTTCCAACCTCTTCTCCTTAGCTGGGCTCATTCTCCTGCAGGTTAGTGAGTTGAACCAGCATGCAGAGATAGGAGTGAACCTCACCTCCACACACACCCGCCACACCACCCCAGTGTCATGGAGTTTGTCCCCAGTGCCCAGCCATGGTAAAAAACTTGGGTGCTCACTCAGGTCCCTCTGCTGGCCTAGGAATGGGAAGCAGAAAAAGCCTATTTGGGATGTAGGAGGGTCTGGGTCTGCAGTCATGTCTCACAGTTTGAACAGGATCCAACTGAGCAGGAGCCTTGGGAGTGTTTTCTTCTCTACCCGCTCATCATTTTACAATTTCTAGAGCTACCGTGCTGCAGGAAACAAGGTAAAATCTGAATTGGTGGAAAACCTTTGGTTCCTTCGCTGGCCTTGGAAATGTTACAGGGATTAAATGAGGTACTAACAGCAGAAATGGCTACTGTACCAGCAGAAGCAATAAAAGGCACGAAAAAGTCATCTGGGTTTCTCTGAGCTCTGTGCCTCACAGCTTAAAAAGCATCTCAACGCTGGTTGTAAGATGCTGAAATAAGTAACAGTGCTATCTGCTGTGACCCTGCAGTGGTTCTCGTTTGATCGAGCAAAACCCAAATGCACACATTTTGTTATTTGTGTGATGCTTATGTGCACGGCTGTTGCCTTGGCAAACCAGAGAACACTTTGTTTAAATCTGTGACTTGTAGATTCAATGGTTTTAACTAATTTCATTTGTGCAGCAAGCTGCAGTACCTTTCTCTTGTATTCAGGGAGCAATATACTGCTCGTGGCTAATTTTAACATCTCTCTTCCTGTGCACAGAAAGCTAAAAGATTCTTCTTTCTTGGCAGAAACCAGCAGTGAGTTCAAATCCTATTAAACTTGAGTCAGTAGGGTGATTTCTATTGCAATGGGAGAAGCATTCAGAGGAAACAATTGTACCAAGCCCACACCTAAGGCAGAGAAAAAGATTTATCTACTGAAAGACTGCAGCCTCATTTTCAAAAGTGCCTTAACCTCCTGGGTGTTCAGGAAACCTTGGACACCTATAAGTGAGGTTTTGTCATGCGGAGCTCATTAATAGCTTTGGGGCTGCCCAGGGAGGTTGTGGAATCTCCTTCTTTGGAGACATTCAAGACCCGCCTGGACACGTTCCTGTGTAACCTTATCTAGGTGTTCCTGCTCCGGCAGGGGGATTGGACTAGATGATCTTTTGAGGTCCCTTCCAATCTCTAACATACTGTGATACTGTGATACTGTGATGAAATGAAGCCTAGAGCTGCCATTCAGCCCTTCAGCCTTACACATAGGGATACCAAATCCAAGGTCCAAGTACCAGATATGCTGTCTATACCCTCCCACTGTCTTTCTTGGGGGTCCCAGGGGTCTGCCAGTGTCACGTAATGGGAACTGGCTTGGTCCTAGTGACCCAGACACAGCAAGTGGCTTGTCCTGTGGCACCAGCCTTACCACCCACTTTCCCACCCATCCTGCCATCTTTCCAAGAGGGTGCTCACCACTGTCAGAAAATCAGCAGTATTAACTGTGAGGGCATTTTAAGTGAACACCTGGCTTCACCAAGGCAGGTTTTTGGATGAGGTACACTGACAGTACCAAGATCAGCCACCACTGCTGAAACTCATGTACTTTGTCTTTGATCTCCATCATTAGTTCTAAGCAAGGTTGTTCTCACAGTCCTGCCTCAAAGCTTTGTTTACTTCACAGGGCATGGAAGCATGTTGCAAATTAATATTGATGGAAATATGAGGAGAAAAGTGTACAAGTTCTCGTGTCATATCTGTTTGCTCTGGTGCTACGCCGAGTCTCACTTTTCCCTGTTTCTGTTGTGTAATGGTATTCCATGTCCTCTTGCTCTGTTTTTTCTTGTTGGTCCACCTTTGCTAAACATGCATATTAATTCAATCAACAAGTAAACCATTAAATGAGGAATCCTGCAGTTTAAATATGAAACTGATTCATGCAGGAAGTGGGTTTTTCTTCTTTGTTTTAATGAAAACAGTCTCAGCAGCTCACAGACACAAAAAAACCCACACATGGAAAATGTGCATAAGCTCTTTGTGCTTCAGCTTTGAAGAAAATGTTTATGTTGTACCATGGTTAATACAAATTAAATTATTGTTAAATCCCCAAATGATTTTCTGTTGTTTGAAGATGGGATAGGCCCATGCCTTTCTTTATTTGTAGGAATAAGCAGAAAGCAGAAAATGATCTTGCTGAAATGATTTGTTGCTTTGGTTTACAACCATGAAAGGGAATGGCATTTTCAGAGCTCTGTGTGTGCCTGTATGTGGGCAGTTCACATTTCTATGGTTAGGATGTAAGATTATTCCTAGAAAAAAAATATGGAACTATCTTCTATCATACTTTAAATACTCATCAGAAGTTTGATCCCAGCACTAACCAGTCAGGCTTTGCTGTCATTCATATATGAAATAAGTGGCTAAATGTGTGCAGGCAATAAAGTTCCATCTTCCAAAACCTCATCCTCGTAGGCATACTTCAGTATTTTTTCTGTTCTTTTCCCTAAAGTGTTTAAAATTTACATTGAATTTCTGAATGAACAGAATATGAATGATACACAATTTAGTTTAAGTATAGTCTACCTATATTCCCTCTGAAACTACCAGTCTTGCTTAAACGAATAGCAGTTTCCAGATTTAAAACATTGACAGAGGTTAGAACATTAATATACCATTTTTCCCTTTTACTTTGTGACTCCCAGATTCTGTTGTGCTTTCTGGGAGGCTAGGTAAAATTACATTTTTAAATTTAAAAGTTCAAGTACAATTTATTTGAGCTGACAGGTACCTGATCAGGAGATGGATACCATTTCTAAGTGCTATTTTCATCATCATCTTTGTAGCTATAGGTTCACCCGTGGCTTTGGAAAACAAGGTTTTAACAGCGGTCTCAAGATTACAAAAAAAAAAAAATGAGGAAAGGGGAATCTACTCTCCTTCTTCTTCCTACCTCTACAGTCCATCTGCAGTGGGCTAGAAGAAATTATTGCTAATAAAGGAAATTATACCAAGTGCTTTTGCACTGATAGGGTGTCTAGAGGTCAAGCTGAGGGTCCAGGTCACTTTTAGCTAAATTAAAGAAAGAATGAAAACAAGAATTCCTCCTCTGTATAAAACTATATAGTACTTTACCAAAGGTAAAAGCAAATTGTGCCACTATCCTGACTTGTAGCCAGAGACCCTTAAACATCTACAAGTCAGGGCAATTGGGTAAGCTTTGTAGCATGACCTGCAGGGTCTTTGGGACCAGCACGGAGTATTCTAAAATACTTACAGTCTCTGTAAACACTTCTTCATCCTTTACTTTGTAGCATTTTCCCAATCAAAAACTCGAAGTCACAAGCCTTTCTTCTCTCTACTAAAATTATCTGGGTTTTTTGTGTGTATTATAAACTTTATTTGGTTATTGTTCGTGACTTCTGGCTTTTTTTTTTTCTCTGCAAGCACGAACAATCAAAATTTCTTGTCAATAAGATCACGAAGTTTTCCCAGGAGTGTGATAACTTATGATCTTAAGAAAATTCAGACTTTTTCAAAATTTCTATTTCACAAGACAACCGACTCTTTAAACTCTTTAGACTCTTCTGTTGTCATTAAAACCTCATCTAAAATGTCAGAAAAAATATCTAAAATTCAATTGGTATTTGGTAAATATTTCCTATAGTAATTGAGATTTTTAAAGGAAAAAAAAAAAAAGAAAAAAGCCATACCATTCTAAGCATGCAAGATTTTATGGCACAGTAACTTGAGAAATTAAGTTAATGTTCATAGTAATAGGAGAAGTTTAAAATCAGTAACTAAGGGGTGAACATACAGGCTAGGCAATTCCATGGAAAATACTGAAGGCTTACTATTTCAGTTCTATATTAAGTGTTGTACCTGTGGGACTAGGAGACTGCAGGTCACAAGGGATAGTGAATCCAGCCCTTGCTTCTAAAGAGGACTTGTGATTCTCAGAAAAGATGTGCTTTTGTCTGAAAGAAGCCTTGGCATCTGCATGATGTACTGGAATGTGTTGCCTTACTTGCAAACCTGGAATTGTGTGCTATGTTCAAGATTTTATTTCGGGGTTTTTTTCCATTTTAGTTTTCTAGAGGTTTAAATTTGCTTTTATGTGTCTACTTAAAAGTGCATTGAAAATAACCTCATATACCTTTTTTACATGCATATCATCTCCTTCAGCATTTAAGGAAACTTCAGTGTTCCTGTTAGGTGTGACTGTTTTCTGTTTTCTTCTTGTTTTTCTGGACTTGAGTAGTCTTTTCTTAAATGAGAATGTTGTTTTGATTTCTTTTGTTTTCATTTCTTTTTTTTCCCTCTCTGTCTATACCCTCCCATGAAATTCAACTAGCAGAACCAAGATTTTTGTCTCTTTAATCATACATTGTCAACAATGACAAGAGGTGTAATTAGCTTCATAACTAGACTCTATCATGAATCACAATCTCTCAGATGTTTAATTCCACTGGCTGTGAGTCCAGCCAGCTACCCATAATAGCCAAGTACAAAATCTCAAATGAGACTGACTTGTGAAAAAGTGTTAGTCTGCTGTTTAGGTTTTAAATAGTCAATTTTATCTTTAGGTGAGTTAAATGCAAAGATTCAGTCCCTCTAAAATCATCACATTTGCAAGTAGCAGCCTCAGATTTCAATAGGGAAGAATTTTTATTTTTTAAACTTGTTTGGGGTAAATTCTTATTCTGTGCAAGGTTAAAAGTGCTGCCACTTACACAGGAAGGAAGCATGAGAGAATACAGCTTATGGATTTGTCAGAACAAGGCTGAGTGGATTGGGTAAAGCCTAATGAATTAAACAGGCTTTTGAAAAATCACTGGTATTTTAAACAGCAACTTTGGATTTGGTCATTCACTCCAAAGACTTAAAGTGTTGCGGTAGGCCACTGCTGGAGGCTCTAGCTGTTAAGAATAAGGCTCAAATCTTGGTGCCATGGAAATGAGCAACAAAAGTCCCACAGATCTCAGGAAGGGGCCAAGATTTAACCCAGAATCCAGCTTTTTTCCCTTTCCAAAGCAGACACTAAAATGCAAAACAATTGTAGGAGAGAGTGAAGGAGAGGAGAGAATTTTCCAGGCAAACAGGCATTAATCAAACAAGCCATTTTATAAAAAAAAAGAAAAAAAGAAGAAGACATAATAATGAGGGCTTACTCACAGTTAAGGGAATTTTTATGTCCCAGGGTTTTTCCAGTTTTGCCAGATGCTAAGTCGAAAACAAGGCAGGAGAATGAAGGAGAAGGCCATAGAAAGAAATATCTTGGCTACTCCTACACTGTGCAGAGAATTAAGCCTCTCAATTCTTGAGCTAGTTTTTAAGTATTATATGTCCAAAGGGGAACAGCAGAAAGAAGCACAGAATTGTACTGTAAGTATAAGTGGACCCAGATCAACAGGAAGCTTGCTATAATTCTGACAAGCTTTAATTTGCCAAAACCTTGTTTGTGCTGCAGTAGTTTCTCTGTATCCCCACAGTGCAGATGTCTTCAGGAGTGGGAGGAATGCTCCTCCCATTCCAGTTTCCTAGAAATGGATGAAAGCTTAAAGATTTCTACACGCAGCATTTCTTTTCCCCACCAGCACTCATTCTCAATTGAAAATTTTCATTTCCCTTTGCAGAAGTCTTTTACGGTTCTTGCCACTGGGGGCAATCTAATACAGATATTGAGGTGACCGGTGCTGCTTCTGCTTTGCAACCACAGTCCTGTGGAGTTCGTTATAGTTCAACCATGTAACTTGAAAGACATGATACAGTAAGGCCAGACAAAAAACACGTCTACTGTGTTTCACTAGAAAATGAGGCGTTATTTATCTCTGAGTAAAAAGGACAGATGATAGCACCTTGAAGATTTAAATTGATCCAAGTATATAATGCTAAAGATCCTAAATGGTTTCAAATTGCGGAAGATTATCTTGTAATTTGTATATATTGCTTCTGTAGGCTGCTGAGGAAGCTAATTGCGATACATCCTGTGGTTAAGTTATCATCTTTCTCAATGACTGAAGATCGTAATTTTATCTTTAGGTGAGTTAAATGCTACCCATCTGTTACGTTCATTTGTATGCTGGTGCAGTGCTGACAAGCCTCCTGTTGTTCATGGTACAATTTGTGTCATCCAACCAGGTTAGTGGAAGATTCACCTCTATGAAACTACTATATAGGAAACAAGCTTAGCCCCAAGTGAGCAGCTCTTCTTTATTTTCCTTTTTTTCATCTTTGAGTGTGGCCAGTTAGTATCAGCTGAGGCTGGAAACAGGAGGCTCTTGGGCTTTGCTCATGTAGATTCTGGCTGACCTGACTGCACACTTACAAATAACAAACTAAGCAGTATCAAAGCAGGTACTTATTAACTGCACAGCTGTAGTGGAGATGAGATATCCCTGTGGTGCTGGGGAAAGCTGCTTATTTTGTTGTACAGCATTTGCCTTGCTGCACCACAGCTCCATGGTAAGACCAGCCTACACAGGATGACTGCTGAGAAAACGGGATTGCTGCTTGCCCTGGGTTGCCCTCACTGGAGCACTGGTACCTGCAGGAGCAGTCGCATGCACCGACTTCTTTAACTGGCATATCAAATACAGATCAGAGAGACTGCTAGGGAAGCTTTTCTTGCTTCCTTAATTAAAAGGAAGGATTTCTTAATTGCCAACCGATTTTATTTTTTTTAATACAATCAGTGTGAAAAAGGAGGGCCCTTTGAAAGACCATGCCAATTCTGCATATGTAGCGTCCTGTTGGATAGTTTGGGACTGATGGTAGAGGGCAACAGGCTCTAGTGCTACCTTGTTCTCCTTTTGATATTCTCTCATAGCTCTTTTCTAGCACAAATTTGGATCTCTTGCATATGAGACCATATTCTTAGCTTGCTAAAGTGAAAAGTGTTGTTGGGATTGACAAAAGGAAGATGAGCATAACTACAAAGAGATGGTAGAAGCAGATGTAGTCTAACAATGTTAAAAAAGCATATAGGTCTGCAAAAAAACCCAAACCTAACAACAAACCACAAACAAACCCCATCACAAACAAAAGAATAATCTGGATGTGTATGGTTGATTTTCTAAGTGCTCACATTTTAGTGCTGTATTTCTGACTGGCCCAAATGAGACAACAAGGCAATTCTGGGAAGAGTGCTCTGCAATAAGGAATGAAGTCCAAGGGGAAAATGAGGTAAAAAGGAGAAAGCATCTTCTCAATCTTGTGTGCAGAATCTGCTTAAGTGGAAGTGAGACCAAACCCCCACATCTAAGTATAGCCTCCAAAATTCTTGAGGAGTATTTAGTTTGGGTTTAGGCCTAACTTCAGGTTGGATGAAACTCCAGGTTGTCTCCCAAAATTTGTCACTATTCGTGCTAATTAAAGGATAGATGTTAGGGCTTGTCTGTATTCAGCAACAGAGGATGAAGCGAAGGAAACTCTTCTTGATGCTCTCCTTAAAGGCAATAATGAGATCTGATGTCAACACGCTCAAGCAAATGCTGAATTTGGAGACTAGGGCAGGAACATTGCTAGGCTTCAAGTTGTGGCAATTATGCTGCGTAAAAGGCATTTTCCAGGGGAGGTGGCCAGATATTTGAGCTGCTGGGTGATGAGGTGTGAAGATGGATATGTGATAAGAAGAGGGGAGATGAGGAAGAGGTGTTAATTCTTGGCAGAGATACTGGCTGGGCATGGCAGTGCTGTTGGACAATTTGTGGATGGGAGTCATGAACCATTTTAGGAGGAAACTTGTCAGGTAAAAAAGCTGTTAACATATTTCTGAGCCTCTACATAGATTTGGAAGTTTTCTGAATGTCGATGGTACAACAGCTCTTGATTTTTAAACATTGAAACATGAGACTGTGTTACCGTCTGCTAATGTTCTTTATGCTAAGTAACCTTTAAAAATAACTAACCTTTACAAATAAGTATGCTAACATCTGTGGGAATGGCAGCTTCCCACACTGGCCAGGTCTCCAGGCAGGGGGAGGGAAGCATGGGAGACTGTTGGTCCTCACAGATGGGGCTTTGGTTAATGTATACGGGTGACCCTGACTGAGGTAAATTGGTTTGACTAAAACTTTGGAAGCTACTTCTGAAATCCAAGTGTCAAGGTTGATTCTGTAAATTGTGAGGTCATAAATGTAAAAACAGAAGTGAGCTATTTCTCAGATGTGTCCTAGCAGCATTCACATCCTGGGCTTGAAACAGATTTCTAACCAGTTGGAAAGGCTGAACAAGCTCATGCATGCCATGAGCTCTCTTTGGCCTAGTAATCTGTACAGTGTTTTCCTATGCACATAGCATGGTGGCTACCCCAAGAAGTGACTGGAAGCTCCTGTGATACTTAAATCAAAGGGTCCAAACACTTTACCAACATGGGAGATCAGGTAATAAAATTATGGGTATATCTCTGAAACTGTTTGCGTAGTGTTTGCAAAGGCTTGAGTGAAGCCTTGGTGTACAGTGTAGTGGAGTGGCAGGAAGTTGGAACTTTTCAGCTTTAGAATGCAAACACTTTTGACATGGCCTTCTTGCGTCCTCACCATAGTGAGGAGCAGGTTATTAGCTGCCCTTTTGGCTGCGCTGTGCCGTTTGTGTTGCGACATGCCTGGGTGGTAGTTGGAGGGGAAGGAAGCAGAGCGCCGTGTCTCTGACTTTGCACCACATGTTTCAGAGCGCGGTCGTTCACTCTCACATTTTACAAAATCAATTTCCATTCTGTCATGGTATTTCACACATTCGCGTTCTGAATAAGTTAGAGAATATTCTACAACTTACAAAAATAACTTTAGTTTTAATTTTTCCTGTTACATGAAGAAACCTATCCATACTTTATCTGTTACAGATGGAAAAACTACATATGGAGAAGTCAGATCTATTAATTAGTTTATAGGCACAAAGTCCCCTAAAGAGTGCCACAGATCCATGTGTTATTCTTAAGAGCTGTCTGAAGTACTTGCACTGAATAATTTATTTCAATTTAGCCCTGTTTCTGCTGTTAATTATCCAAGATCAGACTTTGCTTTTTGGGATTTTTTTTTTTACCATTCTCCCCATTTACCTAAATTCACTGATATGCTCTCTGAATATATTTCAGCCTACTGAGGTATGCAAACCATCAGCACTCATTGAGCTTTGTTGTCTTTAAGGCATGATAGGATGATTACTAACTTATGCTGTTTTTAATCCTTCAGTCATTATTTAAATCCTAGGAGAATGAAGAAAGGGGGAGGAAAGTAGGAGAATGGGAAAGTCATCCACATGGGAACCCTGAACAGTATTTCTTTTTATTTTGTCTTTGAGGACTGTTTCAGGGCCTTAGCTAAGAATCTGTCTCTCTTGTGCTAGGAAAAGAGGGCTGAACAGCATCTTCCAAGTGTTGTGTAGCTCTTTCATGTTGAGAGGTTTAGGGCCAGTCAGGTAGCACCACATGGTGAGGCCAGGGAGTACTGATTTCCATGCTTAGTCCTACTGACTTTTCCCTTGACTGAGCAACTTCAGACTCCACTGTGGGATACTCTCAGCAAGTGAGACAAGAAGGGCCAGGCCAATAGGCTGGGAAAGAACTGGGCAAACAGGGGTGAGGTAGAAGAGTGGCAGCAGTCCTAGAGTTGTCTTTTTCATTGTGCATTATTTTACATGTGAGGATTTAGTTGGCTTGTTTTATAAAATAAAACCAGCAAAATGTATGGACTATTTAAACCTTTGTACAACTATGCAGCGGGGCAATGTAATCTGCACCCTTGTTGAATTACTGTAAATTTTGCTTGCTAAATTAGAATTATTTACTTTCTCTATGGAAGAATGCCTTTTCAGCAGTTTTGATGCATCTGCTATTGTATAGTGTAGCTGTAGCAGTACTTATGGAAAAAGCTATGCAGAAAAACTAAATCAAACTCTACTGAAATCCATGGTTCCTTACCACTGTATGTTTTGTTTTTCTAACATTACCCTGTGAAATATTGCCACCCTTGTATTAGGCAATGTACACACTGATGGGCACTCACCATCCCAGACCTGATGAGGACCTGGAGGCACCTGGGGGTAAGAGATATTTGCTGTCATTCTCAAGTGCAAGCTGAAGTGACTGATGGGATTGTCAGGAGCACTGGTTGTGGCTTTAGCTATCAGAATACCTTTAAAAATCTGTCTCTGATCCTAGATAGACAAGAAAAGCAAAGAGAACCAGAGAAAACTGTCCATAACTGTCTTTCCCAGAGGGCCTCAAATGCCTAAGTGGCTTTCTCAGAATTAGATAGAGAATCTGAAGCAGTCCTGGACTTTGAACCCAAATCTCCTGGTATGTTGCCATAAACACATAACAGAAATACTTTTGGATAGTGAATGGGGAAAAGGGTCAAATTTTCAAAGTAATTCACAGCTGTGTGTGAGAAAATATTTGCAGACACATCCTCTTACTCATTCCTCTCTGTCAGTTAGTATTCTGTGTTACATTTGGGACTCAGTAATATCTGAAAGATTTATTTAGCTATACATGATTTATTTATTTAGGTAACTCCCTCTGCTACTATTTATGTAGTTGTGCATTTTCATATTGCAGTAAGTCAGTGACATGCAACATGTTGATGCACAACT